TACCTCACAAATCTCAGATTAAACCGGTGTGAGAGGATGACTCACAGGGTCTCACTTGTTGCCTGGATGTAAATGTGTTCCACTATTCCAAGGATACTTGAAATATATCAAACATCACATTGGAGAAGAAACAATCTAACACCTTAATACAGAGCTGTCTCCGAACTCAAAAACTGAGCAGAGCACACACTGCACATGATTTGCTTGACTTTTCCCATTCTTTCTATGGATCAACAGACTGGCCTTAAAAAGAAACTGCTGTGGGTCACCAATGCCAAAATGACTATTCTTTTTTCCCCAATTTTGTGGCAGGGGATAGATAAATAGATCCAAAGATAAATTTAGCATAACTCAACCTTTCTGCATTCTTGTGCATATAAGGGGAGGCTGACATATACATGCAAAACAGAACAGAAATAGGAGAGCATGATGGGAAGAGGCAAAGTGAAAAGGAAGCCCATGTGGAGCATAAACATTCATCTAGAACATCTCATCTGTCTTTATGGAATATACCACTGCAAAAGAGCTTCCAAAGTTGCACACATACAGCAACGTGTTGCATATGTACGGTGCACTGAATACAGCAAAACAGAAGCTATCGCAGGAATATAATCTGACAAAAATTCACTTTCAGACCGAGAGTGATACAAGGCATGGGTCCAAACACTTCACTTAAAAACAAGTGCCTCAAAAGAAAGGACAGGTGGAAAAGTTCAGGGAATGAATTCCAGATCTTGGGCCTCGATACTTAAAAGGAATGACCAGCAATGAGGTGGTAAAGAAAGTTAAATGCGACAAGACACTGGGCCAACTGCAGGAAAATGCAGGCCATAAAAAGGGACTCAAACACAAGAAGATGATTTTTAAAGTTGAGGTGGCACGAGGCGAGGCAGGGAGGAGTTTAGGCAGCCAGCAGCAGCAGCAGCATCCTCTTAACAAACGATAAAACAAATTTTTGTGACATTAACAGATCAACAAAATATCCAGCTGTTGACTGAATCCACTCTCATTCTGTTTGCATCATAGGAAATAGCTTGCAACGCTGTTTACAGCACCAATTTCAAAAATTGTATCCTTGCCAGAGTTAAATGAAGAATAAAGCAGAGAAATGGAATAACATCAACTTTTAAAATATATTTTCACATGAAGGGAACATACACAAAAATTACCAACCCCATTGTTCTCTCTACAGATGCTAACTAACTTGCTGTATAAATAATACATGAGCAATGAGTTTAACATTTTGACCCCAGACATTGAAAAATTACAAAAGCATTCAGGCAGAAAGCTATCAGGGCAGTTTCTTCTATAGGACAAGATTTCTGTAAAAAGATTTCAACAGATCTGAGAGTCATTCTTAATAGTAAAGGATACAGGATATCTCCTGCCAGTTGCAACATCAGAATAGCAATAGTCCACTACACTCAGTGACTTTGGCTTCAATTTAAAAGAAAACCAATGCAAACCTTCTCCAATGCTATCTTTCCAGATACAGAAAAACAAACATTTAGCAACTGTATGCTGGCTTCTGTTACAAGAAACAGTTCATGCAATCATCCACAAGATTATCAAGAAATGGTTCACTTTTACCATATTTTACTCACATTGCAACAGTTGAAGGCAAGCTGAAGAAAGCTGGGTGGACAGTCCCCAACCATGTTCTGAAATGCATCATAGTCTAATCCAAAGTTCTAAATTTTGATGGAAGTGTTCAGAAAACAAAAATTAATTCAGTCATTTAAAGATGCATATACTTCAGGAAATATGTACACTTATTATCACGCAAGAACTAAATATGAAAAACTACCAATTATACACAATTAAATCTATTTTGCATTCTAATTAATGAATAAAAGGTATTGAATACTAACAGGAGCCACTTCTGTTCATTTGTATTAGTGTTGTAAAGAGATTGGCTATACTGAAGAAAACAGCAGGAAGTTTTTAATTTTGTCATTGCAGAACAAACTACAGAAACCCGCATTACAACTCGTAAGTAATGAACAGATTTGCATGAAATTTTAACTTTTTTTAAAAATAACAATAGATATAATATGACTGTAATTTATTTTCAGGAACTAAAGTTAACCTGACCTTTTGTCATCACCAGATGCTACCAACAACGAAGTCGCCTAACCTCAGGCAACATCTATTGCCACTGGGCCTACTTTACCAACATTGTGTCTGATGGAGCAGCCGCCAATTCCTTTGCTCACCCAGGAAAAGTAACTAAAGACTCACTCGAGATCTGCCCAGGCCCACTCAAGCTCCGCGTTAGGCTCTTACTGCCGCCGATGCCGTCCAAGCTCAGGATGAGGCAAGTAAAGGCAGAGAGAGAAGAAAAGCAAGAGGAAAGAAAAAAAAAAAAGAAAGGCAGTCGGAACAGACAAGCTCCGGCTCAGGAACCCTACTCCGACACCACCTTGATCACACAAAAGACTGTGTGATGACAGAAATTATCCTGCAGTTTGAGGGGTAGAACTGGAATCAGATGTAACAATATTACAATTAAGTAAAAGGTAACAATAAAAACATGGAGGAGGAGCTGGTCAAAATTGATTCAAAGGGGAGCCTATCAGGGAAGACAGAGGAGCATGAATGGCAGGAGTTTCTGGAGGTAATTCAGAGGCACAGCAGAAATTCATCCCAAAGGAAGAAGAAACATTTTGAGAGGGCAAGGCAACTTGGGAACAGCATAAAAGCAAAAGAAAAAGTATACTGTGTGAAGACGACTTGTGGGAAGTCGGAGGATTTGAAAGCTGTTACAAAGCAGAAGACAACTGAAAGAAGAAAATTAGGGGAGGTGGGAAAAGATGAAGTGAGGGTAGCTAGTTAGTGATAGAAAAAAAAAACTTTTGCAATCTTCTTTCAAGATATCTAAAAGGTATGAGACAGGAAAGAGTGAACATTGGACTGCTGAAAAAGGAGGTTGGAGAAGTTGTAATGAGGAACAAAGAAATAGCAGAGGAACTGAACAGGTACATTGCAACAGTTTTCACAGTGTAAGACGCCAGCAGCATACCAGAACTTCAAGAAAGTTGGAGGCAGAGGTGAGTGTAGTAGCTGTTACTAAGCAGAAGAGGCTGGAGAAACCAAAAAGGTCTGAAGGCTGATAAATCAACCAGACCCAATGGACTACTCGGGTTCTGAAGGAGATAGCCAAGGAGATTGTGAAGGCATTTGTGGTGATTTTTCAGGAATCACTGGAGTCAGGGAGGGTCCCTGAGGACTTGAAAATGGTTGATGTGACATCCCTGTTTAAAGATCAGAGGTAGGCAGCAATGGGAAATCATAGACTGGTTAGCCTGACATCGGTCACTGGTAAGATTTTAACAGTCCATTATTAAGGATGAGACTGTGGACTACTTGGAAGTGCATGATAAAATAGGATTGAGTCAGCACAGCTTCATCAAAGAAAGGTCATGCCTGATAAATCTGTTAAAATTCTTTGAGAGGTAACAAGCAAGTTAGACAAAAGAAAGTCAGTAGATATAACTATTTGGATTTTCAGACAGCCTTTGACAAGGGCTGCTAAATAAGAGTTCAATGTGTTAGGGAAAAGGTACTGGCATGGATAGAGGATTGGCTGACTGGAAGAAGGCAGACAGTAGGAACAAAGGATGGCCACCAGTGACTATTAGAGTTCCACAGGGGTCAGGTTTGGGGTCACAAATTCTACTTCTACTACGCAACTAACCAGTACGTTCATTTGCATTACACTGGTCTGCCGAGAGATAAGCAACTTGAATATTTAAGGATCAGCGCTTCCATTCATATTCCCATTTGAGAGTTCTCCCATCACTTTACATGGTTAGGCAGATGCAAGAAGAAAGATCACCAACGAGACGCAAGTCTTCTAAAAATATACTTACATTTTAAAAGATACTGATACAACATTTGGCTCATTGTTAAACCACAAAAATTTCTGAAAAGTAATGTTCTCTTATCTTAACAGAACAGAACCAAAAATTCACTCCTTACCACTGTCCGAGGGAGACAGTCAGGATCAGCTTGTACTCTGGCAATAATTTCACATAGAATAATGCCGTACGAAAACACGTCTGCCTGCCATAAATTAGAAACAGCATTAGAAACAAAGCTTTAAGATCACTTAGCCGTTAAACTACTGTAGTTATACATAAAATTTTTAAGAATTTAATTAATTATAAGAGAATAACTTATGTCCAAGTACTTCACAGCCAAAGTACCTTAACAATATAAGAACTTAAAAGTAACTGGAGCAGGAGCCCATGGCTCAAACCTGTTTTACTGTTCAGTACAATCAGGGCTAAATCTGCTGCCACACCTTTTTGTTATATATTCCCTATATTCGTTGATTTACAGATCAAAAATCCATCTCAGCCTTCAATATATATATAATGATGGTATACCGTCTGAGATTATGGAATCCCCAAGGATTCACAACTTTGACAACCAAAACATCTCATCTCCGTTCTAATTAGATATTCTTTCTCCCAAATAAGGCTGTGTGCCCATGTTCTATAGACCTTGGCCAGGGAAAACAACCTTTCAGTCCTTTATCCTATCAAGCTCCTTCAGAATCTCTTACGTTTGGATTCAATCACCTTTCTTCTAAACTCCAATGAATGCACTAAATTTAATCAGCCTCTCTTCATTGGACAACAGTCCCATCTCAGGGACTAATCTCGTGAACCAAGGCGAGTACGTCTTTTTGATATGGAGACTAAACTGCACAGTGTTCCAGATGTGATCCTATCAAAATTCAATACAATGGAAGCAAGACTTCCATGACATTCCCAAAACCCACTGCAACAAAGACCAACATGCCATCCTAATTGCTAACTGTACCTACCCCATTAACATTTTCCATTTTCTCTATGATTATACCAAGAACATCTCTGAACAGTATTTGCAGCATAGTCCCTGTTAGGCAGGCAAGAGTCATTCATAGTAACAATGACCTTTGTGACTTTCAAATATCAAAACAGAATCTTCAACATCTATACAAATTGACATATATATGGTTGAGATAAGAAGTCATGCCCAAATAGTACATCCCTTTGTTGCTAATAACATTCCAGTTTCTGAAAACTTTCTAGTTGCCTAAATATTTAGATAAAGTATTACAGTGCACAGAAAGTCCCTGGCCTAATTATCTTGACAAATTCTAGTCAGTTACATGCTTATCACATCAATGTGAAAAGGATAGGTTGAAACATTGACTAGATCTTAGTATGAACAAAAGCCAAATTCAAAACATTTCTAACCACACATATGAAACCAGGATTTTGAATTCAATTAAGTCACTTAGATGCTCAATTAAGTCACTTAGATCTCCCCAAGAGAACTTCTTGACAATGCATCAAGTTAAACTGGAATATTATTTAATTAATAAACTTTGTGTATCATGACAATTTTTTTTATTCTCTTAGGGATGTGGGTGTCACTGACATTTATTGCCCATCCCTAGTTGCCCTTGAGAAGGTGGTGGCGAGCTGCCTTCTTGAACCACTACAATCTGCTCTGGAGTCACACGTAGGCCAGACCAGGTGAAGTTGGCAGAGATTCTTCCAAGGGACATTAATGAGCCAGATGGTTGTTCCAACAATTGACAATGGTGTCATGGTCAACAGCATATTCTTAATTTCAGACTTTTTTTTAAATCTAATTCAAATTTCACCATCTGCCATTTTGGGATTTGAGCTCGAGTCCCCCAAACATTAGTTGAACTTCTGGATTAATAGTCTAGCGATTGATTATACCACTTCCCCGGCGATGCTAATACCAAGGTAGAAGCTCTAAAAAAAAAACTGAGCTTTTTCTATTACACACCCCTTATAAATTTAGTACTGTTCAGTGTGCCATTATCAAGGAGTATGTTTGAGTTCAATAAATGGTTGGAGGCACCAGATACTGCAAAGGATATGGCATGCTGTCAATAACTAGCAATAGTACTTAAGACTTGTGCGCCAGAACTTGCTGCCCTCCCAGCCAAGCTGTTCCAGTACAACTTTCAATACTGGCATCTCCCCAACAATGTGGAAAACGTAGCACGAATCCAACCCGGCCAATTACCACCCTATCAGTCTATTCTTGCTCATCAATAAAGTGATAGAAGGTATCATAGAGTAGCACCTGCTCAGCAACAACCTGTTCACTGACAGTTTGGGTTCCATCAGGGCCACTCAACTCCTGTCCTCATTACAGCCTTGATTCAAAGAACTGAATTCCAGAGGTGAGGTGAGAGTGACTGTCGTTGGTGTTGATGTCAAGGACTAAGTGTGGCATTAGGAAATCTAGCAATACTGGAATTAACGGGAATCGGGGAAAAAGCTCTGCTGGTTGGAGTCATACCTGGCACCTAAGAAAATGGTTGTGGTTGCTGGAGGTCGGTTTTCTCAGCTCCAGGATATCTCTGCAGAGGTAGTTAGTGTCGGAGACCCAACCATCTTCAGCTGCTTCCCTCCATCAAAAGGTCAGAAGTGGGAATGTACGCTGATAATTGTACAGTGTTCAGCACCATTCACAACTCCTCAGATACTGAAGTGGTCCATGTTCAAACACAACAAGACCTGCCAATATTCAGGCTTGGGTGGAAAAGTGACAAGTAACATTCATGCCACACAAATGCCAGCATCTCCAATAAAAAAAAGAGACAATCCAACCAGCATCCCTTGACATTCAATGGTGTTACCATCACTGAATCTCACACTAATCAACATCCTGGCGTTACCACTGACCAAAAAATGAATTAGACTCACCATATAAGTAGATGCAAGAGTAGGTCAGAGACTAGGAATACAAAAGTAACTCAATTTCTGACTGCCCAAAGGCAGTCTGTCATCAACAAGCCACAAATCAGGAGTATAATGGAATAATCCCCACTTACCTGGATGAGTGCAGCTCCAAAAAAACTCAAGAAGCTAGACACCAAACAGGAAAAAGCAGCATGCTTAACTGGCACCACACCTACAAACATTCACTCCCTCCAACACCGACACGCAGCAGTAGCAGCAATGTGTACTATCTACAAGGCGCAATGCAAAAATTCACCAATGATCCTCAGTCAGCACTTCCATCTAGAAGGACAAGGGTAGCACATACATGGGAAAACCACAATCTGCAAGTTCACCACATCATCCTGATGTGGAAAGATTATCACCATAATACTCAGGCATGCATTTTACCAAGTCCAACAGAACAAAGCACTGTTAATTAGTGAATGGTACTCTCAATCTGCTTCATTGTGCCTGGAATTTGGCAAACAACATACCTCTGACTACATGAGAACTGAAGGTTGCCTATTCCAACTGCTGTTGACAACCAATAGTGCCTGACAAGATACATAAATGGCGAAACTAACACTCGATGGTCAATATGGCATATTTGGATGGGCTTTGGAGGAAGCAAAGTACCATAGCTAGAATGACTACCTGAAATGCAACTTTGCTGATTAGCTCTGATGCTTTATTTTTAAGTACACAAACATTTTGTATTACATAGCAGCTTCACAATAGTTCTTTCCAACAAATGAAGGCAAATTCAAGTGAAATACATAGAAATAAACCTTTGAAATCAATTCTCTACTAAGTTTTATTTTGCAGACAGTGATGTTTGCTCCCAATCCAAGACAGAACATTTACCTTTTCATTATAATGTTCACTATGAAGTACCTCTGGAGCCATCCAAAAAGGTGATCCAACCACTGACAACTTTTCTACATTTGTGCTGAAATTTAAAATAGAAAGATAAATAACATGCTTTGCTATTTTACAAAACATTAATTTACTTAATATGCTTTCTTTAACATACCATTAAGATGTTGATCTTCAGTGTATGATAATATTCGCATAAGAATGATTTGTAATGGGACCAGCTTCTTAAAAATCACTTTTTTTCCAGTAAATCATGACCTAGGTGAACAAAGATGACCAGCATCCCCACAAACTATCCAGTAGCCCTATCTTAATCACAAAAGGTTGATGCCCAGGGAAGAGAGTGGTCAAAGACAAAAAAAAAGGTCTGATAATTGGAGGCCAAAGACAAAAACATCTGCAAGTCTTCAGAGACAAGGATTGTATGACTATACCACTTATGCTTTTAGTCCAATTCAAATGGGGTGGCATAATTAGACTTTAGAAGAAGAGAAGAAATAGGAAGAGTAGACTCAAATAGCTTGTCAAGCCTATTCTGCATTCAATGACTGATCTTCAACTTCAATACCACCTTCCTATCCACTCTCATATTCCTCATTGCCTGAAACACCAAAAATCTACCTATCTCTGACTTAAATGCACTCAACAATGGAACATCCACAATTCTGTGGGTAGAGAATTCCAAAGACTTTGGATGGAGTAACTTCTCATTTCAATCTTCAAATGATTCTTCCCTTACCTTAAGATTGCACCTCCTGTATTTCAGAATCTTAATCAGCAGAAACATTTTTTTACTGTCAAATTTCTTCAGAATCTTAGTATATTTGAAGAGATTACTTTTCATTCCTCTAACCTCCAGAGGATCTAGATCCAATTTGCTTAACCCAGCAATCAACTTCGCGTACTTTTGCTGTACCACCTTCACTGGAAACCAAAACGAGACACACCACCACAAACACACTCACCAAAATTTTGTCCAGCTGTAACATGATTTTTTTACTCCTATGTTCCAAACCCCTCTCAACTAAAGCCAACATGCCATCTATCTTTCTAACCGCTGCTCTAACTGCACATTAACTTTCAACATTTCCTTGTTTGAGAACACCCAAGCCTCTTTGAACATAACACAGAGAAGTTCCCCACCTTATCAAACATATTCAGTTTATCTATTTTTATACCCAAGTAAATAACTTCACATTTTCCTATGTTATAGTCAAGTGGGTAGGAATGTTCATCTTTGCTTTGTATATCCTCTATTGACATCAGGATTGTAGACCAATACATTTGTATCAAATCACCAAAGTGATTTATACTTTTTAGCATTCATTTAGTGCCCGTAATACAGGTTGAAATTCATACAAGCAAAATAACTTAACCGAGTTGGACTACGTAAAAGCAAAGCATAAGGCGACAGCAGTACTTTGCAAACTATTTTCCAATACTTTGCAAACTATTTTCCATTTTACCTCATCACCAATTAGTGATGGTACAAAAGACTGGCCTTGCCAGAAACACCCACATTCCAGCAGTCCTCCTTTATCTCCACTTACTGAATCGACAATGTGACATTTCTAACAGCCATACAACACAGATGTCACAGTGCACCATTCCTCCTCAAACTCAATTGTTAAACGTACAGAATTTTTTGTTAAAACAATTAGATGATTCTTGACTGTCAGGCAAACAGTCTTTGACCAACTGTATCTCCAAAACTTTTATAATCAAAACCAAAGCAAATGAAAAATAAAAACAATTCTCTACAATGCATCAGCAATTTTTCTACTGGCTTTGTTTGTAGCAATATTCTGGAGATTTATCTTTAATTCCTTCAGAGTAATTCTGGAGGGGTGGCAATGCTAGTGAGCATTTGGTAACTAAAAAGTGGGATAACTCAACTTACATCCTTTGTCAACCTTTCTTTACCATATATCTAGCATCTGTTAATTGTCTCTTCTATTCCTTTGCTCCTTGACCCCACAACTCACTGCAAATCTTCAATCTTCAAAAATGACATGCATTCTTTGAAACAGAAAAGAACTAGCTATTGAAAAATTTAAACAACATGCTTGCCATCAGAGATGACATTGGTTTATCAGTTGAGCCTCGGTGTCAGCGATAAAGTCTTTGTCAGTAATATCTGCTCCAGGATCAGGCTCTAGAGCTCCTTTGGTGTTGACTCCTATTTGTTGGATTGACCAGTTTACAGAAGGCAACAGACATTTTGATTAAAATAAAAACAAAACATTGAATTTATGAAGCCAGGACAAAGACTGAATTTGGCAGGAATGCAACCAGTCAGGACTCATGCTCAGCTGCTCTTTCTGTCTACGTCCCTGAGCCTGCCGAACCCTAGCTCTGCTGCCTAAAACACCCCCAACACCACTTCTCCCAACCCTTTGGGTTGGCAAACAGCTCCCTAGTCTATAGGCTTTGATACTCTCCCACAAGGCATAGTAGCAACTGTGTGTACTATCTATAAGATACACTGCAGAAATTCACCAAAGATCCTCAGACAGCACCTTCCAAACCTATGACCACATCCATCTAGGAGGACAAGGGCAGCAGATATAGGAGAACACCACAATCTTCAAGCTCCTCACCAAGCCATTCGCCATCCTGACCTGGAAATATATCATCGCTCCTTCACTGTCGCTGGGTCAAAATCCTGGAATTTCCTCCCCAAAAGCATTGTGGGTAAACCCACAGGAGGTGGACTGCAGCGGCTCAAGAAGGCAGCTCACCACCACCTTCTCAAGGGCAACTAGGGACAGGCAACAAATGCTGGCCAGACAGCGATCCCCAGATGCCACAAATGAATAAATTAAAACAAAAACTGGTAACTTAGTTTGATGCAAGTCTAAAGATGTCCACTTTTTCCTAAGTGCGTGAAACAATTGCTATTTGTAATGTGACAAATGGCACTTAAATACTTTGGCTACAAGAGCGGGCCTGAGCCTAATTACTGCGTGCAACTTATCTAATGACTGTATGTTATCTACAAAGGCACCTGTCCAAAATATGATGGAATATTCAACACTTGCCTGTTTTAGAGCAGCTGCAAAAACACTCAAGCAGGTCAGCACCATCCATTACAGATCAGCCCAGTCAGTGGCATTTCATCCACGATATTACACATTCACTCCCTCTACCAGTAATGTACCAAGGGCACAGTGTTTACGACCTATAAGTTACAATGCAACAACTTGCCAAGGCTCCTACAATGGAACCTCCAAAACCTGCAACCTCTGCTACACAGAAGAACACAGACGACATCAGGCATATGGGAAAACCACCACTTTCGAGTAACATGCCATTTTATGCCCAAATCACTAGTTCAAAATCTTGGGAGACTAACAGCATCATGGGCATGCCTTCACAATCTGGACTTCTGCAGTTCAAAAAAATGAAGGCTCACCAGCACCTTCACATGAACAATTAAGAATTGGCAGAATTCCCAATTATTCAAATGTAATTAGATATTCAAATATTGTTTCAATATTTTTTCCAGAGCAATACTTATACTGTGTGTTATGTTGATTAACATGAACATAAATAAAAGTAGGCCACTGGACCTCTCTAGCCTGCTCGGACATTTAATAGCTTCAGAACTTATCTGATTGCAGCCTCAAATTCACATTCCTGCTTACTGTCAATAATATTCAACTCCCTTCTTAGTCAAGGACCTACTACCTTTTCCTTTAAAGTATTCAACAACCCCACCTCCATCACTCTCTGGGGAAAGAGTTCAAGACTCACAGCCTTAAAGAAAAGAAATCCTCCTCATCCTCATCTTAAAATGTGAGACCCCTAGTTTTTAAATTTTGTCCCCCGCTAATCTCTTGAACACAAGAAACATCCTAAGTTCTCATGATCTTAAATGCTTCAATGGGCTTACCCCTCACCTTTCTCAACTTCTATAGGTCAGCTGGTCACTGTTACGTCCTAAGTTAACCTTCCTATCTTGGATAGGAGTCAAGTGAACCTTCTCTGAACTGCGAAACATTTATGTTCTTTCTTAAATAAGACAACCAAAACTATACACTGTAATCTACAGATGGCCTCAACAACATTCTATTCAACTGTAGCAACATATCCTTTTTATTATTTCATTCCCCTTACAATAAACAACATTCCATTTAACTTGGGTACCTGTACACGAACACTGTGATTCATGCACCAACACACCCAATTCTTTCAGAGTTCTGTAGTTTCTTTCCACTAAATATGCTGCTTTACTTTTCTTCATGCTAAAGTTCACACACCTCGCATTATACTCCACCTGCCAATTTTTGGGCACCCATTGAACCTATTTATAGCCTCTTTGCAGACTCCTGATATCCTCTTGACAACTTATTTTCCAATCTAAAAGGACATAGTGAACCAGATGGGTTTTGGTAACAATCCAGTAAACTCATTTGAATTATTCATGTGACAAATAACTTAATCCCAGATACATTAATACAATTCTCCCAACTGTCGTGGTGGTGTTTGAACCAGTGTGCCTCAGCACTCGTCAGTGCCTTTGGATTACTAGTCTGTTGATATTGCCACAAATCACCACACATGCCTTTGAATGGGAAGAACATCTATTCATACTCAAAACGATAGTACTTAAAAACGTGATTAAATATCTCAAGTGTTGAGAGATGCAAATTTCTATTGATTGCTAGTGCAACTGCAAGAAACTAACAATTATAATTCTGTTACTCAAGTTTGAAAATTACATTTAAAAGGGAAAAGACTGTTTACTTACCTATCAGGGATTTTCTCTGCCAGCCCAAAGTCACCCAAAACTCCTGTGTACCCATTCTCTTCCATTTTAATTAAACAGTTCTGTGGGAGATAAAAGCAGAATTGATTACATAAGAAACAACAATTACTTCATGCCTTTATGTCCTGGAAACTGGCAGCTGTGGAAAAGTGCAAGTCTGAATTTAGAAAATTGCACTTTTGATATTTTTCTTTTCTATTCATTCATTTGATGAAGGCATTACTGGCAAGGATAACAGATTTCCTTCCCTAAAAGAACAGATTATTGATTTCAGTTTTCTCTATGTGTCATATTGGATTCCAACTCATGTTCTTTGAACATTAGCATAAAATTTGGGATTACGAACTGCCTCCTTTAAATTAGCACAAATGACAAAAGGATGGATTTCATTAGAGATAATTTAAAATTCAGATTAAGAGCTCTTCGCCTTGGTGGCCACTGATTCAGATTTGTGTTCTAAATTCCACCTACAGCAATGAAGCTACAGTTATTCTTTGGGGACACAAAAAATGTCACATTCCACTGTGCACAGTATGGAGTTGCTAAAGTCTGAATCAATTCCCACCAAGGTGGGGACATTCTTAATTTTAAC